GGCAAAATATTTTGTGTGAATGTAAATATATAGGTGTGTTAAAGTTCTTCAGAAGACACTATATTCTTGTGTTTTCACCATATGTTTACAATGATGAACTCAACTTGCTTTGACAGAATTGGTCCAGATTTTCATCAATATTGATGAAAACAGGGCTATTTTTGGGCAGGAACGCACAGGAACGGAGTTCCAGCTGGCTTCAGAGTTGGCCACACCTACTACAGCCAAAACCTCTGCATGCATGGCTACAGAGGAAAGGCCTGGAGAGCAACCTCCCCCCCCAGCGACTCTGAAGCAGGTGGGCTAGGGGGAGCCCTGGAAGGATTGGGGAGGCATTTAAATGCCTTCCTTGGCCTGTCCAAGGGCCGGTTTGCCCAGGCACTTTGCAGTCGTGGGGCACCCGGGCAAGCCAAGGGAAGGCACGGGGTGTGGCCTAATATGCTAATGAGCGGTGCTGTTATGGGTGTGGTCTGATATGCTAATGTGTTTCTGCTACTGGGTGTGGCCTATTATGCTAATGAGTTCCTGCTGGGCTTTTTCTACAAAAAAAGCCCTGCATAAAAATCAAACGGAGCCTGCAGAGTAAACAGGCAAAAGAGCTGGGATCAGCGTTCCCTCTAAGCTGAGTTACTGTGAGCTAGCTCATAGTTTTTTAGCCTCCGGCTCATACATTTTTTGTCTTAGCTCAGGAAGGATGGCTCCAGAGCAAGCTAATTTATGCAGTAGCCAAATCGCTGGCTCACAACTTTAATGCCAGTAGCTCAGAAAGTAGAATTTTTGCTCACAAGACTCCACAGCTTAGAGGGAGCATTGGCTGGGATATATCAAAACCAGGCTTGCCAACTCTGGCTTGGGAAAGCCCTGGATGTTCGGGGGGTGGAGCACGAGAAGAGTGGAGTTCAGGGAGTAGAGGATGCTCAGTGGGGATGCAATGCCTTCGAACTTGCCCTCCAGAGCTGCCATTTCCTCCAGGGGAACTGGTCTCTATTGTCTGGACTTCAGTGGTCTCTCTAAACAAACTCCAGGCCCCAGGTCAAGGTTTGTTATAATTCTAACAACAACCCACTTCTGGGAAGTCTTTCAACTCACCGCACTTCCCTTTGGTTTTGCTCCTCCAGTCCACACAGATGCTCTGGTACCCACACAAGGCTGCATAGGCCTGGAGACTTCTACATTCAGTGTTCTGCTGTGGCAGGGAACATCCGTCCGTAACACAAGCCTCATAGTAAGGACGTGGAGGGACTGCATCGTGACAGTCTGTTAACGTCCTTATTTAATGAAGAGTATTTATTTTACATTTTTATACTGTCCTTTGGGAGTTTCGGGTGGTACACACATTCCCCCCCCCCTTTCATTTTCACAACAGGATAGAATTAGGCTAACAGAAAATGGTGACTGCAGCCATGAAATTAAAAGACGCCTGCTCCTTGGGAGGAAAGCGATGGCAAACCTTGACAGCATAATAAAAAGTAGAGACGTCACCCTGCCAACAAAAGTCCGCATGGTCAAAGCAATGGTATTCCCAGTAGTAACGTATGGCTGCGAGAGTTGGACTGTAAGGAAGGCCAAGCGCCGAATAATAGATTATTCAAAATTATGGTGCTGGACAAGACTCTTGAGAGTCCCCTGGACTGCAAGGACATCAAATCGGTCAATCCTAAAAGAAATCAACCCTGACTGTTCCCTGGAAGGCCAGATACTGAAGCTGAAGCTCTAATACTTTGGCCACCAAATGAGAAGGGAGCACTCACTGGAGAAGCCCCCGATGCTGGGAAAGACTGAAGGTCAAAGAAGACGGGGACGGCAAAGGATGAGATGGTTAGACAGTGTTATTGAGGCAACGGACATGAAATTAAGCAAACTCTGGAGCACAACAGAAGACAGGAGGGCCTGGTGTGATGTGGTCCATCGGGTCGCAAAGAGTCGGACTCGACTGTGCAACGAAACAACAACAACAGAAAATGGCCAACCTTAGCAGGTATTTGAAGCTGTATCTCCCCAGCAATAATATTGTAATTCTTTTCATTATACCACACTGTCTCTTTTTTTAACTGTATGAAAGCTATTATAACAATACAGATACTAACACATCAGTTATGAAAAATCTGTTATTTTAGGATCTCAAAACAATCTACTCCAAAAAGCTGTGGAGCTATACTGAGAACTGGATGCTGATGATCCAGCACAATTATATTTTAAATTATAAATTTGTTTCAGATAGCATGAAAGACAGTCTGCCATTACTGTAAACACATATACACACTTTGATATGAGTACACAGAGAGCTGGTTCGTTACTGGTTCTTGTTCTTTAGGATTCTACACTAAATTATTCTGCTGGTGTTTCATGCACATTGATGTATTCTGTTCAGTTGTTTTTTTAAAAAAATATATATTTTATTATACAACAAATACACATAACCATACACTAACAAAACAGCACACCAGAAAAAAATCTAGAAGGCAAATACAAAACAAAATAAAGTTATGAAAAAAGAAACAAAAAATAAAATGTTTACAATTAGTTAAATGAAAAACAATCATCTGTGTACCTACAAATTGAAGCACAATGGCTTAATTTAATTGCCACAGTACTTGGGTGTCCAGCATAAGATAGCAAAAATAGTATTTTCAAAAATAACAACACCCTTTTTCTCACATTCTGGTTTATTTGAGCTATTGTAGCTTAGACAGTAACAATGTCATGCTTGTGTGCCATTCATTTAACTTGTTATATATATTTTCAAGGAAATGTGCCTTACCAGATAAGTTTACAAATAGAAGGAGCTCCACAAGTAGCCATGCTGGATGACAATATTTCATAGTGGGAAGATGCCGGATGTCGACCTGAATCACAGTATCTAGTGGCAAGGTCCATGACTTTCCAATCCATCGCCATCTCCGTGAAGGAATCTGCTATCTTACCATTCCTTTTCATTGCATCATCTGTCTTTTTGTTGGTGCATGTACCTGACCAAGATGAGAGGATCACTTTGGGCAAAGCTTAAGACACTATAGGTAAAGGTAAAGGTTCCCTTGCTCGAAAGCCAGTCGAGCCCGACTCTAGGTTTGCGGTGCTCATCTCTATTTCAAAGCCGAAGAGCCAGTGCTGTCCGAAGACATTTCCGTGGTCATGTGGCCGGCATGACTAAACACCAAGGCCCATGGAACGCTGTTACCTTCCCACCGAAGCGGTACCTATTTATCTACTTGCAATTTCTTACTTTCGAACTGCTAGGTTGGCAGGAGCTGGAACTAGATACGGGAGCTCACTCCATCATGCGGCACACTCGGGTCTCGAACTGCTGAACTACCGACCTTCCACAGCCTGCAGTTCAACATCTTAACCACTTGAGCCACCGCAGCTCCTTAAGACACTATAACCATCTCTAAATGTACAATACAAAGAAAAATGGTAACCTTTTGACCTGCTGTCCCTACCTAAGCCCCAAGCCAGTAAATGTCTTCACTTTGAACTGTAAATAGTTTGATCCTTCCTCAGTCCCTTTGCCCTCCCCTGCTAGGGTTGCCAATGCCAGGTCAGGAAATTCCAAGAGGTTTGGTAGGTCAAGAAGAATCTCTAGTCTGGAGATCAGTCGTAATTCCAGGAGAACTTCAGGCCCTATTTGGAGGTTGAAAGTATTTCAGTTTTCAGCTTACTGGAAGCAATTCAAACGCCATCAACACCAACAAACCATGCAGATTACATCTCATTTTGTGTAGACCTTTATCAAAGTGGGTAGCGTTGAAATGCCTACGTAATGTTAATCCATTTGGCAAACACTCTAGTCATAGCTCATAGTCACATTCATCAAATCCATCACACTAATGTGTTAACATTACATAGGTATTTCAACGCTACCCACTTAGATAAAGATATACGTGAAACGAGACGTAATATGCATGGTTCGTTGGTGTTGATGGCGTTTGAATTGCTTCCAGTAAGCTAAATACTGAAAAAAGAATTTACAAGTTGGTGAAGAACCTTTTTTGGTTTTTTTTTGGTACTATACATCACGGTCGTTTGTGTCGTGTATTGACTCAACTCCGTAGTAAGAAGTGAAATCAGCTTTATTAACAACCGGAACATCAGAAGAACACACAACAACAAATGTGGAGCATAGCTCCCTTTTTAAACAATCCCGGGCTGATGTAGCCACGCCCAAGGATAGTTAAGGACCAATAGTATTCTTACAATAAGGTCCAATCAGGTCTGTTCCCTCCAGCACAGTTCGCATACTTTGATTGGTTACATTTTACCATTAGCCAATAGAATTGTTCCAGCTTAGAATCCTGGCTGAGCCTCAAGCTTAACATTGCATTTAATACAGTGAATACATAACAGTTTGCTTCCTTTCAACTTCCACCCCGTGATCTCTCTGTTTGGTTTGCACCTATCTGGAGGCTGGCAGCGCTATACCCTCCCTCCCCCCGTTCCCCCCTCTATGTCCCCAGTTAAAATCTAACATTTGGCCAGATTATCTATTATTTATTTATATAGGGGGGAAATTATGCTGCCTCCCCATATCCTGCTCAAAGTGGCTTACAAAATACAAAATAAAAAACCCCTAATGATTAGAATCATAGAACGTTAGAGTCGGAAGGGACCTTACAGGTTATCTAGTCCAACCCCCTGCACTCTGCAGGAGCATAGCTGAATTTAAAATATATTAATTACAATCCAGCATTAAAAATCAGGACAACATAAAAACAGACCATAAAAACATATTACTGACAGCTTAAAATAACATTTTCCTGATACAGGGCCCCCACACACTCTCTCCAAAGCTCCAAATACGAAGCAATATCCATGTAAGAGGATTGTTTATGTTTTGACACATTCATTCTTCTACTTCAATGAAATACTTACCGCATTGCCCTTCGGTATTGTTATAAAAAGTGCTGAAAGGCAGGCTTATATAAAAAGCGAGGTGAGTATAAGAGACTGAAAGTTTAATTTCAGGTATTTTAACCACAACGTATTGACCCAAGGTGGAGATATCAATGCCATCCTTAGAATAACTCGAAACAATTTCCTTATTGTTTAGCAGAACCTTTAAAAAAAAGAATTAGAATAATCCAATGAGATCCTTGAAACGGCTTCATAAATTGGAGATAGAGCCTATCCTAATGATAAAAAAACACATCTATACCGAACTGTACTAACTCATATCCACCACTAGTATCTCTATGTCCGATCTATATGTAATGGAAAGAGGGAAGGAGGGTCCTGTTACAGTATTCTATTGTTTGCCCCCTCTGTGGAGATGTATGGCCCCACTCTGAAGAGAAAAGACCATTCTCAAAGAGCTTTAAAAATGCAGAAGGTCATAAAATGCAGGGAGGCAAGAGGAGGGGCAGATTTGACACCTGCATCTGCTAGGTGAGAGCTCCCCCAATTACAATGGTAAAAGAGGAAAGCACTGTTTATAAAGAAACAAAAAAAGGTGCTAGATGATGATGATGATGATGATAATTGACTGATAGATGGTATTCTGCAATTTAAGATCTAGCCAAGTTTTTGGGAATTGCAGATATACCTTAACAAGATTCTTGCTGTTCCAAGCAACACTGTCTTTGGGAGCTAAACTGGTGTGATTTCCTCAATACCTAGACTGTCCAGGTGTTTCTTGAAACTTCCAGGCAGAAGAAGAAGAAGAAGAGATTGGATTTATACCCCGCCCTTCACTACCCAAAGGAGTCTCAGAGCGGCTTACAAACTCCTTTCCCTTCCCCTCCCCACAACAGACACCCCGTGAGGTGGGTGGGGCTGAGAGAACTCTGACACAAATTGCTCTTTTTCAAGGACAGCTGTGCCAGAGCTTGTGACTGACCCAAGGTCACACCAGCAGGTGCAAGTGGAGGAGTGGGGAATCAAACCCGGTTCTCCCAGATTAGAGTCCGCACACTTAACCACTACACCAAACTGGCTCCAAGGGCTCCAATAACAACTGGCACGAAGGTAATTTTCTTCTCCCAGAGGCGCTCTAACTCTATTTGTAGGTCTTGGTATTTTGTGATCTTCTCCTGTCCTTTCTTTTTTATTCTGCCGTCTCCTGGGATTGCTGTGTCAATTATCCAAACCCTATTTCTCATTTTTTCTACAATTGTGATATCAGGGGTGTTATGCTCCAGGTGTTTATCTGTTTGTAATCAGAGGTCCCCAAAGAATCTTGTTACATCATTCTACACAATCTTGTCTGGTTTCTGCTCCCATGAATTTCTGACTGACGGTAAGCCATATTTCCTACAAAGATTCCAGTGCAAAATAGCTGCAGCTCTATTGTGATGTTCTTTATAGTCAGTTTGAACAATTTTACTGCAGGCACTGACCATGATGTGGTCAACTGTTTCATCTTGCCTTGTCTTGCAAAGTCCACATTTGCTGCTATTACTGGTCTTCTGGATCTTGGCTTTCATTCTATATATGTGCCTGCTTTTCTGCAGCTAGAATGAGTCCTTTCTTTTCTTTCTTCAAGTGCCCATTTTGGAGCCATTTCCAGGTATTATATCAATTTTATCCTCTACATCTTTCAAATATCGCCCATGCAAGTGCTTTTCCTTCCAGTTGTCAAAGTGAGTTTCGATTGAAAACTTTTCCTGTAACTTTAAATAAGTCTGACGTGTACACTTCAACTGGAAGCTTCTCTTTGCTTTTCTTGGTGTAGCCTTGTTTACTGTAGTGCTTGTTTACTACTACTGCTGCTGCTGCTAGTACTACTACTTCTACTACTACCACTACCATTACTACTACTTCCAGCATTTTATGTGTCATAGAGAGCCAGTCTGGTGTCGTGGTTAAGTGTGCGGACTCTAATCTGGGAGAACCGGGTTTGAGTCCCCACTCCTCCACTTGCACCTGCTGGTGTGACCTTGGGTCAGTCACAAGCTCTGGCACAGCTGTCCTTGAAAAAGAGCAGTTTGTGTCAGAGTTCTCTCAGCCCCACCTACCTCACAGGGTGTCTGTTGTGGGGAGGGGAAGGGAAAGGAGTTTGTAAGCCGCTCTGAGACTCCAAGTGAAGGGCGGG